CTGAGCTTTACAGACCAAACACTTATTGTGGATTTGAACATCTTTACTTTGAGCCTGGAGACTCGGATACATCATGTTTTTGTCTGAAAGGAAAATCTTATGGTTCCTTTAAAGTTTCATCGAGTCTAACTGTTAATTTACACAGGAGGCGTTAAAGTACGTACGCGTTATACGCGCGTAACTTTTTTCCATGTTAACCAATGGTGACACTACTATTTACACTACTAGTGTTATATGTGCATATGACGCGAGGCTGCGCCTAATTTAGGATGGATTTCTAATTTTGTGCACCTCCCCATGTTTAGTTCTGACTCTGGGCACTAACAGGAGTCCAGTCCCTGTGCTCCTCAGAGTCCGGGCTGGTTCATATGGGACTAATATATTTTGGTGCGAGGCCATGGAGAGACTTGTAACAAGCAGAGCTGTTTTAAAGTCTATTCTCTGAGCCACAGGAAGCCAGTGCAGAGACCTTAGGACTCAGGGGGGACACAGACTGTAGAGAGATATGAAGGGGAAAGAGTGAAGAGTATGAAGGGGGAAGAATGAGAATATTGAGGGGGAAGAGGTGAAGAGTATGACACGAGGGAAGACAGTTGGGAATATGTATATGATGGGAGACACCTGGTAAGAGTATGAAGGAGAAAGTCAGTTGAATATAGTCTGAAGGGAGAAGTACAGTGGGAGAGTATGAAGGTGGGAAGACAGTTGAAGCAGTATGAATGGGGCTGGAATAACTGTGGAGAGTGATGTAAGGGGGACAGGAGGTGAAGAAAAAGGACAGGGTATGATGTAGGTTAATGAAGGGGTTGGAATAGTGGAGAGTGCTGGCGAGGATAGAAAGATATCAGAGTATGAAGGTAGTGGGAAGACTGTATGAATAGCAGTATGACGACAGATAAGATCGTTAGTAGTACATGAAGGACGAAGAGTGAAGAGTATAGATGAGAGGGGTAAGGAGTGGACAGAGGAGTGACAGGGGGAAGAGTGATGAGTATGAAAGGGGAGAGAGTGGAGATGATTATATGAAGGGGGGAAGAGTGAAGAGATATAAGGGGGGAAGAGTGAGAGTATGAGAGGGGGAAGTGGAAGTGAAGAAAGACAGAAGGTGGAAGAAGTATGAAGAGTATGGAGGAAGGGGGACCTGAGTGAAAGTAATAAGGAGGAACGAGAGAATAGAATTTCAAGAAGGAGGAAAGAATGGAGAGTAGAAGGGGAAGAAGTGTGAAGAGTATGAAGGGGGAAGAGTGACACGGAGCGTTATGAAGGGGAAGAGTGGAACTGGACAGTTGATACTCTAAGGAAGACGAGGGAGAATAGAAGAGGGAATAGAGAGTAAGATTGAGTAAGTGCAGTGGGAAAGATGTAAGGAGTATAGGAGGTTGGAAAAGTGTATACAGTATTACTGAAGTGGGTGATGGTGAAGCATTGGGGGGGAGGAGGTGGTGGGAGGTGGGGGGGGGATGGTGGGGGGGGGGGGTGAAGGGGGGAAGAGTGGAGAGTATGAAGGGAAATTGAAGAGTATAAGAGGAAAAGTGCACACAGTATGACAGGTAGCGAGATAGAAGAGTGCAGGAAGGATGGGGAAGAGTGACGAGTATGAAGGGGGGATAGAGTGGACGAGTATAGAGTGAGCGAGTGTGGAGAGGAGTGAAGAGATGAAGAGAAGATTGAAGATTATGGAACATATCACAGGTAGATTTGAAGTAAGTATGAGCGGGACAAGAGTGATCTCAGATATAACGTTATAGGACATCAGACAGTATGGAAGATATAAATTGATCTGTGAGGAAGAGATGAGAGATGTATGGTGCCAGGGAAGAGTGAAGAATATAATGGGTATGAATGAATGGAGTACAGTATGAAGGGGGGAGGAGAGTGGAGAGTATGGAAGGGGGAATAGTGGAGAGTATGAACGGTGGGAGAGCACAGGTGAAGAGCCTGAAGGTGGGGGACAAGGAGTATGAGACTATGATCTGAAGCTAGAATGCACTCTGTAATAGTATGAGCAGGGGGAAGAGTGGATAGTATGAAGGGGGAAGAGTGGAGAGTTGAAGGGGGAAGATGAAGAGTATGAAGGGGGAAGAGTGGAGAGTATGAGTAGGGGTAAGAGAGAAGATGATGAAGGATAGGGAAGGAGTGGGAGAGTATGAAGGGGGGGAAGAGTGAATATGATGAAGGGAATATCGTGATGAGTATATATAGGGGGAAGAGTAAACGGGAGTATGAAGTGAGGACAAGAAGGAAGAGTATGGTGAGTGGGTGGGGGGGATGGAGAGGATGGAGGGGTAGGGGGGGTTGGAAATGTGTTTGAGAGGGAAGAGTGGAGAGTATCATGAACAGGGCAGGCGTGGCAGTCTAGAGTAACAGTAAGGGGGGAAAGGACTGGTAATGAGTATGAAGGAGGAAGAGGAAGAGTATATGAAGGAGGAAGAGTGGAGTATGAAGGAGAAAGAAGTGAGATGACTCTATATGACATGGGGAAGAGTGGTCCAAGAACTATGCATGGGGAACAAGGTGAGATGACGGAACAAAGGGGGAGGAGAGTGAAGACTATCAGAAGTGTGTGGAATATAGGTGAATGAGTAGAGTCAGGGAGAAGAGGAGCTAGTATAGAAGGAGGAAGAGTGGAGAGTTATGAAGGGGCAGGAAGAGTGAATTAGGGACTGTGCATGAAGGGGTAGATGGAGAATGAAGGGGAGGGAGCAGAAGCGTGAGAGGACAGTATGAAGGGGGAAGATGTAGAAGAGATGGAATATAGGGCTGTGTAGGTAATGGATAGTAGGAAGGGGAAATATGTAGAGACACATATAGGATGGAGGGGGCGTAAAGAGTGGCAGAGTAGAAGATGGAAGGGGGGCTCTAGATGAGAGACGTAATAAGGGGCGGGAAGAGTGAAGGATTATGATAAGGGGGAAGAAAGACAGTTATAGCAGTATGAATAGGGGGGAAGGAGGAGGACGATTAAGCCTATATCTGGAAGACGCTCGAAGAGAAAGAAGGAGTAAGAGATGGAGAGTACACAAGGGGAAGAGTGAAGAGTATGAAGGGGGAAGAGTGGAGAGTATTGAAGGGGGAAGAAGTGGAGAGTATAAGGGGGGAAGAGTGGTAGATTATAAAGGGGGAAGAGTGAAGATATGGAAGGGGGGGAAGCAGTTGACTATGTAGCGTGAAGGTGTGTGAATGACAAGGTCAGTGGGATGAGGAGGAGTGGAGAATGGTAGGACAAGAGTGAAGATTATAATGTTCTACTTTACTGGGGCAGACAGTCGTCGGTATCAGATCATATCTATATATTATCTCTCTATCTGGTATATCTTCTACACACACAAACACACACACACAAAGTATTAACGAGGAAGAGTGATATATTACATGGATGATTGATTTACCTGATGAGGTGTAGGTTCTACTTGGGTAATGACATAGACATGGAAGAAGCTGATGCAGAGTCGATATATACTCGATAGACGTCAATATATCTACTATATTTGAACTGGAAGGGAGGCGTAGCTGGAAGATATGATGGGAAGGGGGAACAGACGTCTATGCGTAGATCATGAAGGATCTGGGCGTGTCAAGGCTGAGGCTCATATGATAATAGTGTGACACGTGTGGGAAGAGGAGGATCAGTCAGGAGGGAAAGGGACAATGGGTGAAGAGTGGAAGAGTGCACAAAGGCAATTGAATTAAAGATGAGGATACAGTCAGAAGGGGATAGTGACCTTGAGAAGGAGACAACACTAAGACGATGACATAGGTCTAGAGTGAATAATGAGTTGATTAGATGACAGATGTACACATATAAGATACATGGGGAGAGGAGTCACGAGAGATAAGTGATGAGTGTGTGCAAAGTGGCAGAATCGCTGAGCGACGTTCAGACGAAGGGCAGTAGTGGGATAGAGTTACGCAAGACGACACATCAGAATAGGGTTAAGTGATGGTTCAGCAGCGGGAGAGTGATGACATGTACGGGCGAGCATGGGGATGAAATAGATATATAGTGTAAGAGTGAGGTATCAATGTAGAGAAGATGACAGGTAATTTATGAGCTAGTCTCTGCTGGTAGAGGTGAGCGAGGGTAGTCATTAATATGAAGAGGACGGACACAAATAATGTCAGGCGGAGCGGAGGCTTTAGATGTGGGAGTAAGAGTCTAGAGAGACAAACATTTGCGATGGTTGGGCACTAGGAGGTGAGCACGTTACGCTAAGGTAGGGAAGAGTATGGACAAGAGAGTCAGTGAAGCAGTATGAATGTAACATAGTACTGAGATATAGGACAAGTGTAGGGAATCAGTGGGAGAATCACACATGATGGAACTCGAGTAGGTGAAGCGGAGCACAGACAGAGACTCAAGCGGATGATAACCATGAGTAGTGGAGATGTAGATAAGAACAGCGGAAGTAAGAGTGATGATGATGGTGGATGTATGGGGATGTAAGGGGGTGGGGGTTAGGGGTAGGGGAAGAATGGGGAGGTATGAGACGGGGGCGAGGGAGGATGGACAGAGTGATGATAGGGAGGAGATGAGGTTATGCAAAATGGAGAGGGTAGTGACAGTGCGATCTTGGGACTTATTTGCAGGTATGACATTTATTTCTTGTTTGAGTTATTGAGAGAGTGTCACTCATTGGTCATGTAATCAATGAAAGTGAGGATCTGAGTAATGTTATGACATAGGTGTGTGGCGAGGAGGATTTGTGGTAGGTTGATAGTAGATGTGTGTGTAGCACTATACTGGGAGGTAGGATTGAAGTTATGGTACAAAGAGTGTGGAGAGATGTGTCTTGGCATATGTGGGGATGGGAGGAGAGGTCATGTAGAGATGAGTTTGTTTGGAGTGATGGATATAAAGAGATGTGACAGGTGATTGTACAGTGTGGGGTATATATGGAGATGGGGTCTGGTATAAGGGTCTATAGGTACATAGAGGGTTGGGGTTTGTGGGTGGGATTTGGGGGGTAAGGGGTTTGGGGGAGTGGTGGGGTTGTGGTAGGATGTGGTTGGGTGTGGTGGGGATGTGGGGTATGGGTTGGGGGGTGTGTGGGGGTTGTGGTAGGGATGTGGTGGGGGGGTTTGTGGTGGTGGATGTGTTGGTATGTGGTAGGGGTGTGGTGGGGGTTGGTGGTGGGGGATGTGGTTGGGTTTGTTTGGGGGTGGTGGGTGGTGATTGGTTGGGGTGTGGTGGGTTGTGGGGATGGTGGTGGGGATTGGTGGGGGTGTGGGGGTGTGGTGGGTGTGTGGTGGATGTTGGGTGGGATGTGGTTGGGGTGTGGTGGGGATGGTGGTTGGGGGTGGGATGGGATGTGTGGGGATTGGTGGGGGGTTGGATGGGGTGTGGTGGGGGAGTGGTGGGGGTGTGGTGGGGTGTGTGGGGTTGGTGGTGGGGATTGGTGGGGGTGTGGTGGGGATGTGGTGGGGGATGTGGGGGGGGTTGGTGGGGTGTGGGTGGGGGGTGTATTGGGGTTTGTGGTGGGGATGTGTGGGGGTTGGTGGGGATTGAGAGAGATTATTATATAGGGTGGTGGTGGTTTTGTTGTGTGTGGGATAGGTAGAGTAATGTAGAGATATGTAGAGTATAGGGAGTATATGTTAGGTATTGAAGAGTATATGTAGAGGGATATGTAGAGGATATGTAAGAGTATATGTAGAGGATATTAGAAAGGATATGTAGATATATGTAGAGTATATGTAGAGGATATGTAGAGTATAGTATAGTATATTAAGGATATGTAGAGGGATATGTAGAGTATTGGTAGAGGGATATGTAGAGTATTGGTAAGGATATGTAGATGGATGTAGAGTGTATGTTAAGTATATGTAGAGATATGAGAGATATGTAGAGGGGATAATTAGAGTATATGTAGAGTTATAGGTAGAGGATAGGAAGTGTATCTGTGGGGTAGGAAGGGAGGGGGTAGAGTATATGGAAGTAAGTAGAGGATAGTAGTTGATTGTTGAGTATAGTAGAGGGGGGGTATGTAGAGGATATGTAGAGTATAGGGAGAGGAAGTAGAGTAATGTTGAGTTAGGTATAGGGTATATAGAGGAAATGTAGAGTATATGAGAGGATAGGTAGAGTATTATGTTGAAGTTATAGTATAGGGTATATAGGGGATATGTAGATCCTAGGAAGTATAGGTAGAGGGGATATGTAGAGTATATAGTAGAGTATGGGTAGAGTAATGAGAGGATATGTAGAGTGTATGTAGAGGATGTGGGGGGGGGGGGTGATGGGGTAGATAGGGTTGGATATGTAAGGGTGGGGGGAGGTGGGGGGGAGAAGGAAGGGGAGGAAGTAGAGGGTGGAGGAGTGGGAGAAGAGTAGGGGTGTGAGAGGTGGTAGGGAATATTTTTGGGATGATTTTTGGGTGTAAAGATAATTGTAATTTAAGGGAGGTAATAGAGGAAGATGGAGTATTGGGGGGGAGGGATGTGGAGTTAGGGTGAGGTTATAGAATTTAGGGGGGTTGTGTTGGGGTTTGATGTGGGGGGAGTAGGTGTGGGGTTATATTTGGAATGTTGAAGGGGGGGTAGGGTATAGTATATATGTTGGAGGGTAGAAGTGTAGAAATGTGAAGGATGGGGGTAGGAGAGATTGACGAGAGGGGGGTGGTGGGGGAGGGGGGTGTTTGAGAGATTTTTTTGTGGTATGGGGTTTTGGGGTTTGTTTTAAGGTTGATTTTTATGGGGGTGGTTTGGTTTAATTTTGGGGGTAGTGGTAGGGAGGAGAGGGGGGTTTTAAGGTTAGGAATAATGAGAGGTTAATGGAGTGGGTAGGGGGGTAATGTTTAATGTAATGTAAATGGAAATTTTTGGGTTGTGGATTTGGGTAGGGGATGGGGGTGGGTTAGGGGTTAAGTTAGGGATGGGTAGTATAAAGGGGGAGAATGGGGGAGGGGGGGAAAGGGGGGGAGGGGGAGGGTAGGGGGGAGGGGGGGGGAATGTGGGGGTTGAGGTAGGGATTGAGTGGGTGGGGTTTGGGGTGGTGTGGGATATTTTAGGTTTGAGGGTATGTTAGGTTGGATGAGGGGTGGGGGGAGGGTTGTAGGGATATATAGTTTGGAAGGGTTGGGGGGGGGGAAGGATAGTGATTTGTAGATTATGGGTTTATTGGGATATGGTATGGGAGTGGAAAAAAGGGAGAGAAGGTTGGGGGGGTGAGAGTGGGGGGTGTGGGGGGTGGGGGGTAGGGGGGTATTATTTTGTGAGGGTTGGGGTAGGGTTTTGGTGGATTAAGAAGAGTGTTGAGATTGTGTTTGGGGGTGATGAATATATTAGAGTTGGATGTGGAGTAATGTTTAGTGATGGGTGGGGGGGTGGGGGGGTGTATGGGATGGTGGTTGGATAGGGAATTGTTAAGAGGAAGGAGTTTTTTGTGGATGTATGGAGGATATGGGGGATTACACATGGGGGGGAAGGGTTAAGGGGTTGAGGGGGGGAGGAGGAGGGGAGATGGGAAATGGGGGGAGGAGGGGGAAGATGGTATAAAGATGGTATAGTAGATGGTATAGAAGAGGGAGAGGGGGGGGAGGGGAAGGGGGGGAAATGAAAGAGGAAGAGGTGGGAAAATGGGGAGAGAAGGAGTGGGGGTGGATGGGGAGGGAAAGGGGAGAGAGGTTAAGGGGGAAGGAGAGGGGGTGGGGTGAGAGAAGATGAGGGATTGTTAGGGTGGGGGATGGGGGTGATAGGGGGGGAGGGTGTGTATGGGAGGGGTTGGGGGTTGGGGGAGGATGATATATATGGGGAAGGTGGTATAGGGAAGATGGTAGAAAAAATTGGGAAGAGAAAGGAAGAGGAGGGGGGATAAAGTGGTGAGAAGGAGGGTTGTGAGTTGTAGGGGAAGGGGTTATATGGATTTGGTGAGGTTTAGGGTGGTTGGGTGGGGGGGGGTGGGAGGGGGTGTGGTATATGGATTGGTGATGGGGGGGGAAAGGATAGTATTGTTGGGGGTGATGATGGGTAGGGGGGGGGGGGGTATGGGGGGGGGGGGTGGATGTGTGAGAAATGGTGAATAAATGAGGGTGAGTGTGGGGTTTTGTATTGTGTGGAATGGGGGGGTGTGGGGGAGGGTGGGGGGGGGAGGGGTGGGGGGGGGGGGGTTTGTTATGTGGTTTGGGTGGGATTGTTGGGTTATTTTTTTGGGGGGGTGTTGGGGTGAGGGGGTTTTGGGGGGGGGGGGGGTTTGGTGGTGGTTTGGAATGGTTGGGAGGGTAAGATTTGATGAGGGGGGGGGGTGGGGAAATGAGGTGAGGGGAATAGAGGGAAGGGAAGAGTGAAGAAGAAAAGTAAATTGAGGGAAAGGAGGGGATGGGAGTAGGAAGGGAGAGATAGAGAATGAGTTGGGGGGGTTTGGAGTGTAAAATTATGGAATTGTGGGAGGGAGTGGAGGTAGAGGGATAAAGATGAATAATGTGGGAAAGGGAGGGGGAGGGGATGAAAGAAGAAAAGAGAGGGAAGGTGAATGAAAAGGGGGGAAGGTGGTAGGGGAAAGTATAAGAACTCATATCTATATCTCTAGGGAAATGAGTTATAAAAGAGAGAAGAGAGAGAAGAAAGAAAGAGAGAAATAGGGAAAAAGGGAAAGAGAGAATAGAGTGAGAAGAGATAAAAGAGAAGAGGGGCGAGAAAGATAGGAAAAGTGAGAAAGGAGATGAAGAGAGAGGGGGGAAGAAAAGAGAGGGGAGATATGGGGGAGAAAATAGAAAAGAGGTAAAGTATGGTAGGGGAGGGTGGGGGATGGTTATTATGAAGGAGTGGGGTATTGGGAAGTTGAGGTGGTGATGAGTGGGAGAGTGTGAGGAAAGGAATTTTTGAGAGTAGTAGGATGAGGGGAAGGGTGGTATGGAGGGTAGAATGTTAATAATGATTTAAAAGATTAAGTATAAGGGGGGGGGGTAGGGGGGTGTATAGGGGGGGTGGGATTAGAAGGAAGGAAGGAAGATTAAAGGAGAAGGATAAGGGTTGTTGTTAGGGTAATGGTTGTAGATTGGGGATGGGGGTATTTGTATAAGGGTATTGGTGTTAGTGTAGAAGGGAAGAGTTTGGGATGGGGGGGGAGAGGTTTATGGTAAGTGTAGAAATAATGAGAAGATGGGGAGTTGGGGTTTGAGGGTAGATTTGGGGGTTTTTGGGGGGGTGGATGAGAAGGGGGGTTTAAGTTTTAATATAGGGAGGGTAGGGGGGGGGGTATTATAATGGGAATGGGTAGGGTTGTGGGTGTTGGGGGGGGGGATTTTTATGGATGGGGGTGTATATGGTGGGGTATGATGTTAATGGATTGGAATGGTAGGGGAGAGGTAGGTTTTGAGGGGAGGGGGGGTATGATGAGGGAGGGGAGGGGTGTGGGTGGTGGTGTGTGTTAGTGAGGTTGGGGGGGAGGTTGGTATTTGGGGTAATGAGATAATGAGTTTGGTGGTTTAGGTTATTTGTGATATGTTATGTGATTTTTTATGGAATGTAGGGGGGGTGGGGATGGAGGGGGGGGAGGGTGGTTTATTGGGGAGTGTGGGGGGGAGGGTGGAGGTTGGGGGTGGGGGGTGTTTATATGGGGTAGGGGGGGGTGGGTGAGATGTGTAGTAGGGGGGGGGTGGAGGGGGGGAGGGGGTATGATGTTTGGGAGAGTGGGGTTAGTTTGGGGGGTATGGGGTTGGGGGTGTGTTGGGGGGGGGTTGTATAGGATGGGGAGATTGGTGGATATTGGGGTTGGGGGGGGTGTGGGGGGGGTTGGGGGGGGGGGAGAAGAGGGGGTGGGGGGTTGGGGGAGTGGTTTGATATGGGGGTTGAGGTATGAATGAATGAATGAATGGGGAGTAAAGGGTTGAATGGGAGGGGGGGAGTGTGGGTGATGTATGTATGGTGGTTGTGTGGTGGGGTTGGTTGGTGGTGGTGGGTGAAAATTGTGAGGATGATGGTATGGTGAATGGGGGGTATTTGAGATATAGGATTATGTGTGGGGTGAAGATGGTATAGGGGAAGGGGTGGGGTTATTGGGGGATAGTGGGGGGGTGTTTGGAGGAGGAAGTTTTGGGAAGGTTTTTAGGGTGGTTGTTTGTTATGGGGAAAATTTATTTGGATTGGAAATTTTGAGTATATGGGGATGGTGGAAGAGATAGAGGTGGAAGAAGATGAGGAAAAGGATGTTTTTATGTAAAAGGTAGGGGTTGGAAGATGGTGGGGGGGGGATGTGGATTATTATGTTAAGATGTATGGGGGGGGTTTGGGGGGGATGGGTTGGGTGGGGGAAGTGGGGAGTTATGAAGGAATTTTGGTTGTGGTGGTGGTGTTTTGGGTGAAGTTGAGAGAGATTATTATTATTAGGTGGTGGTGGTTTTGTGTGTGTGTTTGGAGATAGTGTTTAGTGTTGTAGTTTGTGGGGAATGTTGGGGTGTTTGTGTAATGTTTTGGAAGGTTAGGGAATTTTGGATGTGGGGAGGGGGGGTTGTGGTTATTTGAAGGTGGATAAAGAATGATTATGAGAAGGGGAGGGGGGTTTGGATGGTTAGTGGAGGTGGGATATGTGTTGTGGACTCATGACACTGTGTGAAATTGTGTGGGGTCGTGGTAGTGTTGGGGGCACTGGTTCGTGAAGTATCAGTTGTTTTAGGTTATATGGCGTAGAAGTAGTTATAATATTTGAAGGTATTTGGTGGAAAAGGCGAATGGAAGGGGTTAAGGATGAATCTAAGGATGGTATAGGGGGTGAGTGGGACATTTGGGAGGTTTAATTGTTACTGATTTGGGGATACACTCATCTCTATCTCTGTTTTTGTAGGCATTAGAGAATGTTGTATTTGGTAGGGTGGCAGAGTATGTCATTGTTCTAGGCTACGATGCGGACGGACAGTATACTGTAGTAGGATGTATTGAGTAAACAGATATATATTGGGAACTAGGGAGTTCGGGTAATGTCTGGTGAGGAGTGTGCTGTATGGTGCGTAATAGATTTGAGGTCAGTGGATAGATAGGGAGATTCGAGAGGATGCATAGAATTACTATACAGGACGAGAGTGGCCTGAGAACTGTAAGCCATGAGGCACTCTGGAGATCAAGGGATCATAGGGGTAATATGGAATGCTTGAGAGGGAGCATGGAATACGATGTGGACAGACATGCTGTGAGGCGCAAATAGATATAGTGTGCATATGGAGGGAGGTATTGTGGTCTATGGAGGTATTAGTGGATGTGAATGATGGGGTGAGAGTCACGGACTGTATAGGAGGAGAAGGTGGGAGTGGAGTGATGCAGAATAGAGGGTGCTCAGGGATCAGTGATGGTACGTACTAGGAAGAGCTGTGATATAGGTGCTCACTATATGAGAGAGAGATATGATAGATCAAATCTCATCTGTGTGCACATGTGCAGTGCACTTGGTCACAGAGGAATTAGTATGAGATGAATTTGTTTACGTGTGGTGTGAGGCATTGGGAGTGATGTGTGTAGTGAAGACAGTAGCGAGCTGAGACGCAGAATTTAGTAAATGGTTATGAGGATGGGGGTGGGAGTTGGGTGGGGGAGTTGGGGGGTGGTTGAGTTGGGTGTGAGGGGGTGTTGGGGTTAAAGGGGGGAAGTATGAATTAGATGAGAGGGGTTGTGTGATATGTTTGATATGTTATGAAAGTGGAAGGATAGTATGGGGGGATGAAGGGTAGGAGGGACAAGGGAGTGGAGGTGGTTATTTTGGTGGACAAGAGGTAGGTTTGGGGGGTAAATAAAGGTGAGGTGGATGGAATGAAGGGGGGGGGGGATTTAAGGGGGAATGTATGGGGGGGGGGGTGGGGGATTAAGTTGGTGGAATAAATAAATGTGGGAGGAATGGGTGGAAATGAGGGTTAATGTTGTAAGTGGTTGTGGGGGGTGGAGGGGTAAGATGAATATATTTTGAAAGGGAGTGGTAAGGAGAAGAGTAAAGTGGTATGGGGGTGGGGGGAATAGGTAAGGGAGGAGAGAAGGGGAAGGAGAAGTGTATGGGATGGAGATGGGGAGGTAGGAAGGATGGGGGGGTTATATTGGGAGATAAAATGTTATAGGTGGGAGTGGAGGCAGGTGGTGCAGTGTGAGGAGAAGGATCAGTGAGTGAAATCAACCAGGAGAGATGACACTGTCAGTGTATGATGGAGATCGGGATAGCACGGCAGATATGGTAGGGAAGCTACTATGGGACGGTGTCGGCGTGTGAGTAGCTATGGGGATAGAAGCTGGACACGTGATGAAAGATGTGAATATGAGGATGATAATATATAGAGTATTCTGGTATATGAGGTGCCGACTGTAGTGTGGTAATATATGGAGGTGTTTACAACGGGATTGAGGACACATTAAAGGCAAGAGTGATAGATCTCTGCGAACTGTGGGGTATTGATCAGGAGGGAGATCTGGATGGGGTACAGGTTGGGTGTATTGCATCAGCATGATAGGTCACAGGGAGTGGGAGTTGGTATGGGATATAAGAGGTATACGAATGAGATAGAGGTATGTAGGTGATGGATCAAGGTGTTATAAGTGAGTGAGTGTGATCATGCGCAGGATCGGTGGTACGGAGTAGGAGTGTAGTAGAAGTTGTTGGAAGTAATGGACAGGGAGTAGGATGAGTGGGGTTTGTGGGTATGTGGGGGTGTGTGGGGTGGGTGGTGTGTGGTGGTTGTGTGGGGGGAGTTGGTGGTACATGGTGTTGTGGGTGGGGTGTGTATGTGTATATGGTATTGGGTGGTTTGGTATTGTGGTTGTGGGGGTTTTAGATTATGTAGGGTATGTGGGGGGTGGGTGGTGTGGTTAGTGTATGTTGTGTATTGTATGTGGGGTAGGGGGGGGGTGTGTTTGGTATATGGTGTGGGTGGGTGTGTATGGTGCGTTTGGTATGTAGGGGTATGTGGGGGGTGGGTGTGTGGTGTGGTATGGTATGTTGGTTGTATGTTGAGTGGGGTATGTTAATGTTGGGAGGGGGTGTAGTATAGATGAGGGATGCGAGAGTATGAACAGGGGTCTATATGTATGTGATCTGCAGTTGAGGTGAGGGGAGTGTCGTAGCTGTATGGAAAATGGTATGACTGATAGCGATGCATGTGGTATCTATAGTAGTGAGGAGGTGCGATGGGCAGTGTTTAGAAGAGGTGGTCGGTCGGACTGACAGTGGAGATGTAGCGTGATGAGTGGGGGAAGGCGTTGGTGATGTGATTGACTGGACTGATACTAGAGATGCAGTATGGAGGTGGTGTCTAGAGGTTATTATTAGGATATACTAGGCATGTAGTTAGTGGGTAATGGTTTGATAGATAAGGTGTCTGTATCTATAGAGTGATGCCTAATAGGGTAAGATGGAGACATGAATATGAGGAGGGATATGGATGGACACTACGTGGCTGATGATAGATGTATCTAGAAAAGGTACATGATGAAGAGACTCATGTTCACGATAATGTCTTCAAAAGGATGGCTGTGAGGGGGGGTGGGTGTTGGAATTTTTTGGGTGTTGGAGAACATGGGGGTTGATTAGTACTATAGGTTGAAAATTTAAGGATGATAAGGGGGGATAGAGTTGGGAGGTTGGGGGTATTGTATTGGTTGTGATTGATTGTATGGTGTGTAGAGGGGGTAAATAGATTTGGGTGTGGAATAGGGGGGGGAGAGTTGGTTGGGTTTTGGGGTAGATGGATTATGGGGGGAGGTGGTAGAATGGTTTAATTGTTTTTGAAAGGTCTATAAAGTGAGATCTATCAGGATATGGTAGTTTGGGTGGGGTTTTGTTGGATTGTGGTTAAATGTGGGTATGTATGGAGGGGTGAGTGTGGTATATGGGAGGGTGTTGTTAGTTGGTATATGGGAGGGTTGTATGTGGTATATGGAGTGTGAGTGTGTAGATGGAGGTGTGTATTTGGTAGAATGGAGGGTGTGGAATGTGTAGATGGAGGTGGTGGAGTGTGGGTAATGAGTGGTGAGTGTGGTATATGAGGGTGGTGTAGTGTGGTATATGGAGGGGTGTGTAGTGTGGTATTTAGGGGTGTGGAGTGTGGTAGATGGTGGTGTGTTTGTGGTAGATGGAAAAGGTGGAATGTGGAGGATGGAGGGTGTGGAGGTGTGGTATATGGAGGGTGTGAGTGTGGTATATGGAGGTGTGTAAGTGTGGTAGATGGAAGGGTGTGGATGAGGTAGATGAGGTGTGGAGTGTGGTATATGGAGGGTTGAGTGTGGGGTATATGAGGGGGGTATCAACTATAGTTGTAGCTAGGAGGGTCACGACAGAGAGATGCTGATGACAGAGAGATAGGTGATATGAGTGATGATGGTATATGGAGGGTGTGTAGTGTGGTATATGAGGGTGTGGAGTTGGTAATGGAGGGTGTGTATGTGGTATATGGTAATATAGTGAGTGATGTAAGTGTCAGTAATGGATGGATGAGCGTGTAGATATGTAAGGAGGGTAGAGAGCCGTGGCGACTGGAGTGGGTATATGTAGTCTCAGTGATGTAATATAGTGTAGTATGATGCGAGTGTGGCGATAGAGTTGGTCAATAGATGGTAAGTGTGTGTGGATCGATGTTTGAGGAGTGAATAGATGAATTGGACTCAGTGGACGGAGTCAGAAGGGACACTTATATAGGTGGACTAGATGGTATATAGATATCTATGACTGTGTAGTCATATGACGAGGAGTGTATCTGTGATGATCATGTTAGGGGTGGAATATATAGTACAGGATCTTGAGACGTGATGGAGCATAGGAGGGTGTCTATGGTTGAGTTGTAGAGGGAGATCATGGAACACGGTTGAGTATGTGTAGTAAGTCAGTGTATATGGGGAGTTAGTAGGTAGAGGTGGTCACTAGGACATAGGGGAGGAGGCTGATGGGGGACAAGGTATGATATGTGTTGAATTAATGGAGATGAGTAAGTTGTGAGAATGAGTTCTTTGAGATATGGAATATAGGGACGTGGCTGTGTGGTCATGGTGAGTCTATGTGGCGGTGGCATGTCACGGGTTGGAGAAATCAACTGGTGTGCTTGTGAGAGTGAGGTACGGGGTCATTGGTGAGTGGAGATGGATTATCCTGCACGATGGGGTGGTTCTTCGAGAGTGCATGGTTATAGGGGAAGCTAGGATGTGGGGTAGATAAGGAACATGTGTTGATGTCACAATATAGGTACTCATGGATGCTAGCGAGATCTGTACGACGAGTCAGTCATTAATGGGTATAGCTTTGTGTAAGGTATGAGGAGAGAGAGTAGGCTGGGCCAAGTGGTATGCATTATGGTATACTAGGATAATGAGAGGCAGTAGGCGTAGTGGATGATGATGCTAATAGTGAAAGTGAGTGTATCTGCGGGAGTGTTGGCATACGAAAATAGGACGTAGGTATGATAGATTATGGGGGATTCTGGGAGATAGTGAAGGGTGTGGTTATGGAGTGAGTGAACATAGTTCCGAGTCATGATAAAGAAGAAATGTGATGGATGGGGGGTATGAGGGGTGGGGGGGTTTGTGTTGTTTAGGGTTAGTTTGTTGGGGTTTGGTTGTGGATTTGAGGGAATTTAATGGGACATTTAATGTAAAGGTAATGATTTGGGTGTATTCTCTCTAGGAGGTATAATGTGTTGTGGGGTAATTGGGTAGTATGTGTATGTGAGCGAGTGGGGTTTGAGGTATGGAGGGTAGGGGAGGGGAGGGGAGGGGAATGGAAGTGTTGGGGGATGTGAGGGGATGGGAGGGGGGAATAATGTGTATATCTATTTTTTAATTGGTTAATGGGGGTGGAAGGGATTATTTAAGGGGGGGGGAGGATGGGGGTGGGTAATTGTGGATTTGGTTTAGGTGGGTGTGTTGGTAGATGATGGAATAGGGGGTTGATGATTTTGGTAGGAGAGGGGTGGGGTTGGTGAGAATGTTTGGAGGGGGGGTTGGGGTTTTGGTTTATTTTGGGTGGTGAGGTTGGGGTGGAATGTATAATTAGTTATTTATTAGGGGTGGGGTATTGTTAGTTGTATTTGGGGGGTGGGGGTTAGTTTGGGTGAAAGGTTGAAAATAGGGGTGTAGGTGGATGTGGGATGTAAGGGGGGGGTGAATGGGGTGGGGAAGAATGGGGGGTGGATGGGGTTAGTAGATGTGTGTGATATGGAGGTGGTGAATTAGATATGTTATGGATGGTTATGGGTTGGTGAGATGCTATTAGAATGGGAAGGGAGGTTTGGAGGTGGGTTATGGATTAAATTTATATTGAGGGATGTGTTTGGTATTGGTGGGATAGTGTAGGGGGTTGGTGTGGGTGGTGGGGTGTGGTGGGGATGTGGTTGGGGGTGTGGTGGGGGTGTGGTGGGGATTTGGGGGTTGGGGTTGGGGGTAGTTGTGGGTTGGTAGGGATTGGTTGGGGGGTGTGGTGGGGATTGTGGGGTTATGGGGTTGGGGTGTGGTGGGGTTGGTAGGATGTGGTGGGGTGTGGTTGGGGATGTGTGGTATTGTGGTTGGGGTGTGTGGGGTTGTGGTGGGATGTGGTTGGGGTAGTGTTGGGGGGTGTGGTGGGGATTGGTTGGGGTGTGGTGGGGGGGTGGTGGGGATTGGTGGGGATGTGGTGGGGGTTGTGGGGGGTGTGGGGGGTGTGGTGGAGTGTGGTGGGGGATGTGGTTGGGGTTGGTGGGGATGTGGTTGGGGGTTGGTGGGGGATGTGGTGGGATGTGGTGGGGGTGTGGTTGGGTGTGGTGGGATGTGGTGGGGGGTGTGGTAGGGTGTGTGAGATGTGGTGGGATGTGGTGGGGTTGGTGGGATTGTGGGGTCATGTGGTGGGGGTGTGGTGGGGTGAGAGTGGGAGGGGTTAATTGGGGTGTGGTGGGGAATTGGTGTGGGGGTGTGGGTGGGGGATTGAGAGATATTATTATTAATAGGTTGTGGAATAGGTGTGTGTAGGGATATGTATAGTATATGAGAGAGGATATTTATAGTATAGGATAGTAAATTTTTATTATATGTAGATTATATTTAGAGAAATGTAGAGGATATGTAGATATAGATAGGATATTTGAGGATATGTAAGTATAATGTAGAGTATATGTTAGAGGATATGTAGATGTATAGGTAGATTATATGTAGAATGATAATCTCATCTATATATATGGTAAAGTAATTTTAGAGGATATGTAGAGTATTGTATATGATATGTATAGTTGAGTAGATTTATGTATAGTATATTTATAGTATATGTTGATGATATGAAAGGAAATGTATAGTATATTATAGATATATTTAGAGGATATGTAAATTATATGGAGAGTATAGTTATAGGAAATTTAGGGATATGTTAAGTATAGGTAGAGGTTATGTAAGAGGATCTGTATATAAGGTATAGGATAGGTAGAGAAAATTATGAGTATAGGTATAGGGTATATAGAGGATAGTATAGTATAGTAGAGGATAGTAGAGTATAAGTTGAGTATAGTTATGTATATAGGGATATGTAGATATATAGGTCGAGTAAGGTAGAGGATATGTAGAGTATAATAGCTAGAGTTATGTGTAGAGTATATGTAGAGGAGATGTAGAGTGTCTTATCTGCAAGAGTGTGTTTTATGAGCATGTTACTTCACTTAAGCACAGTCTGAGTTGTGGCTGAGCCCTTCCATGCTATCCTGACTCTTATGCTGCGATGGCTCCTCAGAGCGAGTGAGGATATCTCTGAGTACGTTCACAAAGCTCTTAAAATGGAGGACCCTCACCAGATACCGAAACCGGTCTGACCCTCTGCCTCAGGCTACAAGTGGGATTTCAGAGGCTAACTTTTAGCTTAACACTCAAACTTGTAATAGTAATGTGTAAATACATTTGTTTTGTCTACGTAGAGTATGAACGCGCAAATTCAGAAAATCCCTTGTTGTTACTTTTACCACTTACACACAGAATCTGGAGCTCCCTATAACTCCCCAGAGCCGTCATTTTGTCTGCTCTCTTAACCAGTGGAAGCGAGTAAATCTCTCAAATTAAATTTTACATTTGGAAATTGGGTAAATAAAACCTGAAGCAAAAACAGGTTTGATGAAAGGAATCCAAATGGTTACTAGGACTTTTCTTTTCTCTGGTGGAAAACAGAACTGCTCAAGCTCTGAACCATTCTAGACAGGACCAGAACACAGGGCTCGGGTGAAGGAGACCGAGTCCGGGGTAGAAAGTAGAGGGAGTGCGGGGGGTGGTGGGTAGGGGGTGAATGGACTGTATAATGGGTAGTGAGACTGTGGGTAGGGATCGAGACGTTCTATGGTAGCTACAGCCCTTTTTCTCCATTTTGCTGGTCCTTGTCTGGTTTCAGAACTGGTCTTAGGCCAGATTTGAATCTTACGTTCAAATCTAATTAGAGATATAGGTTTATTATATTTCCAAACTAAAGCTGTCAAACTGACTGCTCGTGGAGTTTCGTTAAAGACTTTCACACAGCTAAATGCCGTGACTTTTTTTATTCCGTCACGTAGCAAAAGACGCAACCAGTTATACACGTGCACAGGACATGTCTAAATGTTCCCCCTGCTCTCTTAAATGGATCTGCTGCCTTGTCTCAGTTTTACTGGTTTACTGGGTACACACCAGTATACGTAAAGACATTATAAAGAGAATTTCACACCTCAATTACTCTCAATATACAGTTTTATCAGTCTCACAACTCTATGCATATTTACAATAATAGAATTGTTATTTTTTAATTTGATAATAGTCAGGAAGTAAGTCACGGTCCAATAAACCCTGCGTCTAAAAAGATAGGCATACATTCAATTCACAGGGGCATCAAAGTTTGTCTTTAACCGTTTTACTCTTTGCTTCTCGTGTCTCATGTCCTCAGTGTGTTCGTCTGGTGCCTCACTACACGCCTCAGACAAACGCCTCAGTACACGCCTCTGTGCTCTGTGTGTTTTCTGTGTCCTGTGTTGTCCCAGCCCCTCGTCCTCTGATGTCCCTCAGGCCGCGGGGAGTCCTCTGTGTATTCATGCTTTCCATGTCCTCGTGACCTGTTTCCGTGCTCTGTGGAGTGGATCATCTCCTGCTTCTTTCAATAACTTTGCAAGAGTTAGTCCATGTAGCGCGCGAATGTGTCGGATAAACAAGGCTTTTTAATTGGTTTAATTGGCGTTCATCACCCACATTTCCTGAGTACTCTTTGCCTTCATTAGCGCCCCAAGTGCTTCCCTTCCTGCGTGTTCACCCGAGTAATCTCCTGTCTTGAATATGCTAATACTTGTCCTTGTACACATTTCAAATAGCGTAAACTGATTGAAGTTATGTTATTACAGTTTTATTATTTACACATTCAATTACATTTTTGTTGTGGTCCCTTCCCCTCAACACACACACACACAAGTGTACGGTGTCTATAGGACATGACATTTTGATGCTATAGTGCACCCGGCTCCATCCCCTCATGAGCTAAGGGACAAACCCATCGAGTCCTGGTAAATAGATTCTTATTATTCTGTGTCAGTCAAGTTTAGTTAAATACATAGTAAATAAGGTCATGAATTGACGGATAACATGAAAACAAAACAAAAGGGTGATAAGCTCTTGAAAAGTGGATGAAAATAATGTATAAACGCCAGGACTTGTCTGTCCTCAAAGTAATCTGGTTTATGTCCCATCGATTCGTCTCCCTCTGTCGCTGTCTCTCTCCTCTCCCCCTCCCCATCTGTCCGCGATCTGTCATTTCTTCCAACCATTAGCCGCGATCGACCCCCTTAGCCCACAAAACAAGAACTAAACACACAGCACCGAGGCAAATAAAATAGGTAAAATGTTAGTGGGATCTTAGGAATTGTACAGAAAGGGATTGTGGGTGAATGTGCTCTTATGGCCAATTATATGGTTTTGAATTACAAAATTTACAGTAATATGATTTTGCGAATCAAAAGTCATAGTTAGATAAGAGACACAGACCTAAATTGCTATAGAGGGGTCTCCCACCTGAAGCTCGTGACCCGTCCAGGGTAGCTCGCCAAAAGGACAATAGAAATTACCCATCAACTATACTGTACCTTATATATTAAGAATGTATTGTTATTCTTTATTCATACATGAAAATGAACTTCCATTGTGCTCTAGAAATCTCTCATAAATTCCTCCTCCTCCGAATAGAAGTAGAGAGAGAAAAAGCGCACAACGACGACAATTAAAATAATGAATAAATAAAAAAGCACAAAACAAACAGAAATATTACGAGAACAGTATAAAATGATTAGTTACATTCTAACACCTTATGGCGAGCAACCATGACGGGGGTCCGAGCAACGGTAAGGAGACCTGCAAAAGACATTTAAGTCTGTGTCTCAACAAAACTGAAGATATTGATCGACAAAAATATAGCCTGTAATAAATAAACTCAAAAACACCATATACTTTACCCAAATCGCTCACTCACCCCTCAAATTTGTACAGAACCCTATGGATTCCACAACAAAACCTAAATTAAAAAATTCCTCATATATATTGATTATTCTGTTTTAGAAATACAACGAGGTATTAGAATGAAGATTGAGGGTTTCCCCGTAGTGAGCAGTTTTATTATAAATTGTACACCAAGCAATCGCCAAAGCGTGCGAATGCAACTTTATCCGGTGATACGGACAGATAAATCCAAACAAATAATGAATTTTAACTAGTTATACACACAGCTAGTACACAGGTTCAATGAACTATAGCTTATCTAATGAATATTTACGTGAATTTCCCATTTGTCCCTTTATCCAAAACAATGAACAGCTGAGGAATGTAGACACTGTTTTTAGCGGAGGCAGCGCGGATCTCTATGGCGTCAGTTTTTGAACCCAGTTCCCGACTAGTGTTGGCGTGAGTCCTGTGGCGTTGGGCCAGATGGACGTATACCTGGGACGGGTATGTGTAAGGGTCCTGGAGGGAACCAGACTCTCTCAGCAAACTGCGTGTTCGCTCCTAGCCATGCATAATCAACGTACCTTTTATAAACACCCTATACTTAACTTTTGACATGCATAAGTATTACTAGTGTACTGCTACTTCCTTATGCCCATTGATATAATTCAATAACTAACCATTGTGTGTAATACTCATATAAGCCTGGCGGTGGAACCAAGCGAGTCCAAAGAACGCTAAGCCGAGTTCTTATGTCTAAAAAAAAGGAAACATCATAAGTGGAATAATAAGGAGCTGACAAATTGTCATCTGTTCAGCAGCAGTACCCTAAATATATGGCCACCCGGAGGGCATATCCACATACCAGTAAAACCCAAACCGCACGTTGTGCGTCTTTCCACCTGTTATTTCATTGACGTGACAACTAATTTAAGCAGATAAGCTATTGAAAGGGGTTACCTGCGTGGAGAATGTCTAATTGATTCCATGGGTTTACAGGCATAATAATGTAGGATCTTTACGGTAATCTAGAGATTTACAAATTGCGTGTGATTGAAAATTTTTATATGATGCATGAAAAAGGGGGGGGAGATAGTTTAATGCCTTAAACACTTTTAGTATAAAGCGGAAGGAGGAAATGTATACTTATATTCATGTAATAAATTGGAACTCATGAAAAAGCATTATTAACACGAAAAACGTAAAAAGTGTTAACTACTCACGTAGTAGGCCAGTTTTGACCGGCCGTAGAACGGATTAGTACAGGACAGACATTAAAGCTATCATCCGTTAAAAGTTAAAAAGGTAAATAGAACCTGCTGTAGTGGCATGGAATGGACCTAACCTTGAAAACAGGTGCGGGTCTACTAGCTCCTACGTCCCAGATGGTCCTGTGGCAGGTGGGAACTACTTGCGAATGCGGTACTTCTCCACGGGTCCCAGGGGCCTCCCTCAGCAGCCCTCATCTCGCCTCCCGGTAGTGCGCGACCAGTCCACATGTCCTGCAGTTTGGGCGTGAGACTCGCGCGCGTAAAGCGGAGGCTCGTGGAGGAACTGGGTAAAAGCGCCTCGAAGTGTACCCCCCGTAGCAAGGCGCACCAGAGTATCTCGGGCGCTCATCCCGGACTTCATGACGGATCAGTGCCTCCCTACCCCTGGGCAGACCACCAGGCACGGCCGGCCGGCCGGGGACCAGAGGACACCGGCCCAAGCGCTCGATGTCCCCGGTTCTCCTCCAGGTTCCTCACACACGACACAAGCCCAGCGAACATGGTCCGACGGTGGAACATTTGGAAGTGGAAACATCTTTTGCGCGTCGCATTCAGTACTAAAAAGTGATGAATGAGTCTAAAGCAGCGTGTCCGTGCGCGCGTCCTGAACCCATGGCTAGCCTTAATGAGCCGAATGAAGACGTGTGTGACCCAGCTTTGAAGAGGCGCATGGACTAAAAGAAGAAGGACTAGAAGTCATCTCGTATTTAATAGCTAGATACAATTTAGCATCTCTGTAGAAGTTGTGCAGAAGGATTTATACCATCCGAACCAATAGGCGTTCAGAGCGGGGGGCAGGTGTGGACAGAGGTGACGGTGCGTGTCTGATCAGCTTGTAAGGCTAGCCCGAGGAAACATGACTGGCCGAGAGGACTGCAGATGAAGCAAACACGCAGATAGATGAGCTTATAAAATAGGTCGGAACTGGGACATCCTGCAGGGGGAAGTGCTTCGATGGAGGAGAGCAGTGGGGTACAAACGGCTACAGACATCATGCGGGCAATTAGATGGAAGACTAAAGAGTGATGAATCTGGTCCCATCCACAGATACACAGCCCCTATAGCTATACTAAAGCAAGGCTAACTCAACAATGTATAATAGTTATTATTATATTAATATTAATTAACACAGATTGTCCCACGAGAGAACCGACAAATACCACCCCAATAGCTGTCATCATCTGTATTAGACACATTAACCATTGCCTGCCACTAGAGTGAAGTAGGTAGAGAGCGGCTTGTTCTGAAAAGTTCATCTGAGTAATGCAGAGAGCCAAAAATCACAAGAGCCTACAGAGTAACAATTAATGAGAGCTGGAACAGTGGACTTGTAGGTGAGAGTAGAAACCTTTATTAATAGGAGCAAATAAAGGAACATACGCTTAAAAGGCGACATATAAACAAAAAAAACTAAATTCAATACATTCCAGAGCCCATAGAGATCCAACGAAAAAGCAATAAACAAAATGAGAATTGAATGATCATGATTTCTAGATGAAAAAGCCCCGAGGGCGTGGATAGCCAAAGCAAAGGTGCATGAGCTTGGACCCCTGAGAAAGTATTAAGACCAGTAGCATGAACAGACTGGCAGGCTGAGACGGTACGCATGTCGACAGGAGCCCCGATGCCTGGACAGGCGCGTAAGCTGGCCACTACCGGCCCTGTATCTAATCTATCAAACAGGAACCAATTAGGACATTTAGTTACCATTTAACACAGACCACCAACCACCAGCCGCTCGTCGTCCAACAATTAAACGTTTTGTAATCTTCAGGTGAGTCCAGCTTTAACCTGAAGACCTGAGGAGATGGGGGGAGTCTTGGACCTGCAGCCACACATGCCCTTTGAGGACCGGCGTCTCGTCTCCTTGTACAGGTGTATTTGTCCACTGACCTTGCGTCTCTTCTTGTCCGTCTCCTTATACAGGTGCAGGCGCAGGTTGCGGACGGCCGGCAGGTTGTTGAACTCAAAGTGCTCTCCCCAGAACACGGTGTCGGTGCGGGGTTTGCTGGTGGTTCTGGCGTACAGCATGTCATCCAGGCACAGCTCGCAGTAGTAGCGCTTTTTGGCGGGAAGCTCTCGAGCCTCGATGATCCACAGCTTCAGGACATTGTCCACTCGCCGGCTGTTGTCCTGCCAACACACGCCACAGTCAGACGGGACAGAGGGGAGAGGGGAGACACCAGAGAGACCAGAGAGAGGGGAGAAACCAGAGAGAGGAGAGAGACGGGAGATAGGGGGCAGAGCGGAGAGACAAGAGAGAGGGGAGAGAGGAGATAGAGTGGAGAGAGGGAAAGAGGGGACAGATGGGAGAGAGGGGAGGGAGGAGAGAGAGGAGAGAGGGGGGTAGAAGGGACAGAGAAGATGGAGGGGAGAGACAAGAGACACAGGACAAAGGGGATGGAAAGGACAGAGAGGAGAGAGGGGAGAAACGCAACAGACGGGACAGATGGGGGAGGGGAGAGATGAACGAGACAGAATAGACAAGACAGAGGGGACGGTGGGGGGATAGAAGGGACACAGTAGATGGAGGGGAGAGACAGGAGAGAAATGACAGACGGGACAGATGGGGGAGGGGAGAGAGGAGAGAGACAGGACAGAGGAGACAGAATCGATGGGACATAAACCAGAATGCTTTGAGGACAGACAAGTCCTGGCTTTATCATTATTTTCATCCCCTTTTCAGAGCTTCTACACCTTTTTTTTGTTCATTCTTGACCTTATTTACTATGTTTTTAACTAAACTATGACTGACACAGAACTACATACAGAATCTATTTACCAGGAATCGATGGGTTTGTCCCTTAGCTCAGAGGGGTGGAGCCTGGGAGCATATAGCATCAAACCCATGTCCATAACCACCGTACACTGTGCTCGTTTTGAGGGAAGGGCCAAAAAATGATAATTAGCATGTGTAATAATAACACTGTAATAACACTAACTTCATCACGTTTACGCTAATTTGAATGTGTACAAGGACAAGTATTAGCATATTCAAGACAGGAGATACTCGGGTGACCCACGCAGGAAGGGAGAGGCCACTTGGGGGCGCTAATGAAGGAAAAGTGTACTCAGGCAACATGTGTGCTGATGAACGCCAATTAAACCAATTAAAAAGCCTTGTTTATCCGACCACAAGTGCTACATGACTAAAGTTATTGAAAGAAGCAGGAGATGATCCCTCCACAAGAGCACGGACACAGGTTCACGAGCGACATGGAAAAGCATGAATATCACAGAGGAGCGGCCCCTGAGGACATCAGAGGACGAGGGCTGGGACAACACAGGACACAGAAACCACACAGAGCACAGAGGCGTGTACTGAGGCGTGTACTGAGGCGTGTACTGAGGCACCAGACGAACACACTGAGGACATGAGACACGAAGAAGCAAAAGATAAAACGGTTAAAGACAAACTGTGATGCACCTGTGAATGAATGTATGCCATCTTTTTAGACGCAGCGGTTTATTGGACCGTGACTTACTTCCTGACAATTATCAAAATAAAAAAATAACTATTCTATTATGGTAAATATGCATTAGAGTTGTGAGACTGATAAAAATGTATATTGAGAGTAATTGAGGTGTGAAATCTTTTTAATGTCTTTACGTTTACTGGTGTGTAACCCAGTAAACCTCAAACTGAGACAAGGCCAGCAGATCCATTTAAGAGCGCAGGGGGACATTAGACATGTCCCTGTGCACGTGTTTAACTGTTGCGTCTTTGCTACGTGACGGAAAAAAAAATGTCACGGCATTTAGTGTGTGAAAGTCTTTAACCGAAAACTCCCAGAGCAGTCAGTTTGACAGCTTTTAGTTTTGGAAATATAATAAACTTTAACTACATAGATTTGAAAGTAAGATTCAAATCTGGCCAAGACCAGTTCAGAACCAGACCAGGACCAGCAAATGGAGAAAAAGGGCTGTAGCTACCATAGAAAGTTGGTTACCAAGTTACTACATGATACAGTACATTTGAATCTTACTTTCTGGACTGGTTCTGGTCTGGTTCTGGTCCAGTCCTAGAATGGTTCAGAGCTGTGTCAGTTCGGTTTTCCACCAGAGAAAAGAAAGTCCTAGTAACCATTTGGTTTCCTTTCATCAAACCTGTTTTTGCTTCAGGTTTTATTTACCAATTTTCAAATGTAAAATTTTTTGAGAGAATTTCTCAGCATTCCACTGGTTTGAGAGCAGTCAAAATGACGGCTCTGGGAGTTATAGGAGCTCCAGAATTCTGTGTGTAAGTGTAAAGTAAACAAAAGGATTTTCTGAATTTGTGTTCATACTCTACGTAGACAAACAACTGTATTTACAATTACTATTACAAAGTTTGAGTGTTAAGCTAAAGTTAGCCTCTGAAAGCCCCACTTGTAGACTGAGGCAGAGGGGTCAGACCGGTTTGGTATCTGGTGAGGGTCCTCCATTTTTGATGCTTTGTGAACGTACTCAGAGATATCACAGTCTGAGGAGCCATCGCAGCATAACGAGTCAGGAAGCATGGAAGGAGCTCAGCACAACTCCAGGTCTGTGCTTAAAGTGATGTAACATGCTCACAAACACAATCTTGCAGAGTAAGTATAGAGTATGTGCAGAGTATGTGTAGAGTATATGTAGAGTATGTGTAGAGTATGTGCAGAGTAAGTGTAGAGTAAGTGTAGAGTATGTGCAAAGTGTGTACAGTGTAAGTGTAGATTATGTGTAGAGTACGTGCAGAGTAAGTGTAGAGTATGTGCAGAGTGTGTACAGTGTAAGTGTAGATTATGTGTAGAGTACGTGCAGAGTAAGTGTAGAGTATGTGCAGAGTATGTACAGAGTAAGTGTAGATTATGTGAAGAGTATGTGCAGAGTAAGTGTAGAGAATGTGTAGAGTATGTGCAGAGTAAGTGTAGAGTATGTGTAGAGTATGTGCAGAGTATGTGCAGAGTATGTGTAGAGTATGTGTAGAGTATGTATAGAGTATGCATAGAGTATGTGCAGAGTAATTGTAGAGTATGTGCAGAGTAATTGTAGAGTATGTGCAGAGTATGTGCAGAGTATGTGTAGAGTAAGTGTAGAGTATGTGCAGAGTATGTGTAGAGTATGTGTAGAGTATGTGCAGAGTATGTGCAGAGTATGTGTAGAGTATGTGCAGAGTATGTGCAGAGTATGTGTAGAGTATGTGTAGAGTATGTGTAGAGCAAGTGTAGAGTCATGTGCAGAGTATGTGTAGAGTATGAGGTAGAGTATGTGTAGAGTATGTGTAGAGTGAGTGTAGAGTATGTGCAGAGTATGTTTAGAGTATGTGCAGAGTATGTGTAGAGTAAGTGTAGAGTATGTGCAGAGTATGTGTAGAGTATGTGCAGAGTAAATGTAGAGTATGTGTAGAGTATGTGCAGAGTATGTGCAGAGTATGTGCAGAGTATGTGCAGAGTATGTGTAGAGTATGTGTAGAGAATGTGAAGAGCATGTGCAGAGTATGTGCAGAGTATGTGTAGTGTATGTGTAGAGTAAGTGTAGAGTATGTATAGAGTATGTGTAGAGTATGTGCAGAGTAATTGTAGAGTATGTGCAGAGTATGTATAGAGTAAGTGCAGAGTATGTGCAGAGTAAGTGCAGAGAATGTGTAGAGTATGTGTAGAGTAACTGTAGAGTATGTGCAGAGTATGTGAGTAAGTGTAGAGTACGTGCAGAGTATGTCTCAATGGTTCCAGCGTGTGAACAGTGGGGACACAGGAGTGCGACACAGAGCACAGACAGGAGCACACAGACAGGAAAAGCCGGGACCTTGTTGGGTTTGACAGCTCTCTGGAGGTTCTCGATCCACTTGTCCCTCTCTGCAGCCGAGCGACAGGCAAAGCACTTGGTTCCCGACGTCGTGGTTACCTGACGTTCGACAGCAGCCAGACCACACAACCACACAAGCCATTAGTAACCATGGAAACACTAAGTGTCTCTGAGGCTGAGATGAGGACGGGGCGCTCCTGGACAACACAGTGTGGGTTTAAACACTGCAGCCGACCCACTCACGAACCAAAATCCTGTCTTTAGTCTTTAGTAAAGCTGGGGTATGTAAAGTATGTGCAACAGGCAGTTAAAGGTCCCATGTATTACGCTTTTCGACTTCTCATTGCTTCCCTTAAGCTTTAGTTAGAGACCGAGCTTTCTCTTTCTTTCTGGAGAGGGAGCTAAAGGCCTCAGTACAATTTGTGACAAGGCATGAGCTGGAGAAGCCCCGCCTCCAGGAGGTGATTGACAGGTGAGAAATCAAAATGGCAAATCAGCTCACAGCCTCCCTCCCGAGACTTGCGAGTCAGTCATGGATGTAGCACCAGTATCTGTTTGAGCCACATCGAGCTCTGCTGTTTTTACTGCTCCTATCGCATACTAAAATGTATTATCATTGTGTCCTGAATGTTTGAGGATCACATTTTTGCTTCAGTTCATGTACAGACCATAATAAATGTCACGAGACAAGATTCTTATTTTCCTCCATGTTTGTAAAGTCTTTGAATTATATGAGGGACATGAATTAGGGCTTTGACTTCGAATTTCAATATTCTAATATAATTCGAATACAAAAAATATATATATATTCGAACAAATATTAGACATCCCTTAATATTCTAAGCTGTAATAGACATTATCTTTTTAAAATTATATATAAAATAGTTAGTTCCCAAAGGTTTCGCCGTGGCGTGGCTAGGCTAGGCTAGTAACAGCTAGGCTAGCTAGTAGGTTCAAAACTTCAAAACTAGAACTCTCTTGAACTACATGAAAACTGAACAAAGAATTGTGAACATCAGCGGTGAGTGACCCAAATATAAACTTAACCTAAATCCATAATCAGATCCTCTGCAAATGTTCCTAAAATGTCATACTAATGTTAATGGTTACTTCCGGGTTTGAAGCGATCGCTTTTTGTCGCATTAAAACAGTATTTTTGTCATGAAAACGTAAACAGATAAGTATGAAAACCTCCGTGCACGTGTATTAAGAATGTATTTGTATAATTAATCTCTGATTACCATCTAAATGTTCTGATTGATTGATACTAATGTTTATTGAGCGTGACTAGCTTCTTTAGCTTCTTTAGCTTCTCAGCAGAGACAGAAGTGGTGACGTAGCCCGTTGTGTCGAAGTGTGCGAACTACTGTCTGGAGTAATCTTAGTACTTTACACACCTAAAGTACAAACACAGAGTGCGTTGCTAAAGGGCAGCGGTCATTATTGGTTTGAGAGGTTGGTTATCAAGAAACCGATCGGTAGAACGTTTTGAAGTTACATTCAAATCAATGGAGCGTTTTACTGCTGCTGTGAGGAGCTGTATAATAAACTATGATTAAATATTCAAATATATTTGAATATTTTTCAATATCTAAATGAACAAAAAAACAAACTTCAAATAGGATTTTTGTGCAAAAGTCAAAGCCCTAACATGAATAACAATGATCACAGAATCGTATCACAATACTCTCTGTATCGCGATATGTTAAAGGTATAGGAGGATTTTCTAAATCATCAAGACAAGTGGTCCGCCTGATTGTCAATCATTCTGGTGATACTGCTCGTCCAAAAAGACCAGAGAGTTTTGTTCAAAAAGAGGAGAGGGCGGTTCTCTCCTAAAATTTGGGAATATCCTCCTATATACTTTTAAGAATCGCAATAATATTGAATTGTGGCCGAAATATCGCAATTCTCTCGAATCCCCACGTTTTTACTTCTTCCCACCATTGAAGTATATTGTGTATGTAGCTGGTACCAGACGTGTGAGCTGGTACCAGGCGTATGAGCAGGCACCAGACGTGTGCACTGGTACCAGATGTGTGGGCTGGTACCAAATGTGTGCGCTGGTACCAGATGTGTGAGCTGGTACCAGGCGTATGAGCAGGCACCAGACGTGTGCACTGGTACCAGATGTGTGGGCTGGTACCAAATGTGTGGGCTGGTACCAGAGGTGTGAGCTGGTACCAGATGTGTGGGCTGGTCCAAGATGAGTGAGCAGGTACCAGGTGGGGCCGACTGACCTCGAAGCAGTACTCTTGTCCCAGGATACTGGAGTGGACGGGTTTGATGATGGTGTCCTCGTCCAGCGTCAGGTCCAGAGCCTCCGCCGCGCTGCTGGGAGACAGCAAGGACTCATGGGAGTGCGACTCCTTAAAACTCTGCATCAGGCGGGTCCTGGGGGAGAGAGGAGGTGAAGGGAGGGAGGAGGTGGAGGGCGGGAGGAGGTGAAGGCAGGGAGGAGGTGAAGGGAGAGACGAGGTGAAGGGAGGGGTGAGGAAGTGACGGGAGGGAGGAAGTGAAGGGAGAGAGGAGGTGAAGGGAGGAGTGAGGAAGTGACGGGAGGGAGGAAGTGAAGGGAGGGGTGAGAGGAGGGGAAAGGAGGGAGGAGGTGAAGAAAGGTGAAGGGAGAAAAGGGAAAGTGAGAGAGGCAGGGAAGGGAGAGACAGGGTGAAGGGAGAAGTGAGGAGGTGAAAGGAGGGAGGAGATAAAAAGAGGAGAAAGTAGGTGACGAGGGGAGAAAGGCGGTGAAGGGAGGGGAAAGGAGGTGAAGGGAGGGGAAAGGAGGAGGTGAATGAAAGAAGGGTTAGAAAAGTTTGCAAAGATAAAACGTTGGTCACACTTTAGATTAGCCCTCACTAATTAACCGCTAATAAAGTGCTAAATAATGTATAATTCATGGTTAATTCATCTTCACTGGTATGTATTCTTTAGTCCTTATTATCCCTTTTTCTACATGGCCTTATTCCCGTGTGGGTTAGAGTTAGGGTTCACTTTCTGCGGCGAATCTGGTCTTCGACAAAACGCATTGAGCTGCAGCTTTAAAACCAAACGTAAATATTGGAGTCGTTTTGATGTGAAGAGAATTTGATAAAAAACATTGGAGCGAAAACACATCTGTCCAAACAAACTCTCACCCTCTGAATCCACCGAGCCCTTCGCACAAGACTGTGGCCTTCATCGTTTGTGAAGGGAAAATTGCTCATAGTTTTTCCACATATTTTTATTAATAACTAATTCTGTTCAGTTTGAGTCGTTTGAAGAAATGTCTGTATTCGTTCATAACATCCATATTTCCTTTCATGAAGAATCGAACTCTATTCGAACTCAGAATATATCATGTTTTTCCTCATTAGAAGACAGAAAACAACTCTGGCAAGAAACAAAGAGCCTCATCCTGTCACACCTCAGAAGCTAAGCAGTGCAGGACCTGGTTAGTACTGTGATGAGAGACTGCTCTTGTGTTCTTGGGCAAGGCTCTTAAGTGTCTTAACTATGGCCTCAGAGTCTGGTGTGTGTGATGGAGGCCCATAAACTGTAGGTGTGACACTGTTAACATTGAAACATTGTAAAAAAAATTAATCAGCATTGGAATAAAACTACTTCCAACCGATTGAAGCAACAATTTAAAGACCTTATGCAGTGTTTGTATTAGAATTAAAGTTTGAATACCATTTTATACTGGATAAGAACTACTAAAGGTTTCAAAATTAATTCCATCCGATCAACCCAAATGTCTGTCCAATCAATGTTACTGGACACCTGAATTTTTATCTGAACTATCTATCAAATTGAGAAAACACCATAGCAACGGCCTTAGCAACGAGAATAAAACCACCGCTTGTTTACATTTTGTCTGTTTTCCGTGGTGAAGTTGGTGGATATTCAAGAGCTTCTTGTGTTCTTGAATAGCTTGATGTGTTTCTCTGTTCACAGACGCACAAAAGGCTTCATGGTCAAAGGAGAAGAAAAGAAGAGGATTTGGACGACACCAAGCGAGAAACAGGGGGAAGAAGAAGAGACACGAAGAGGAAGACGAGGAGGATGGACAAAAACTCATTTCTGTTTCATTCATAACTTGGTTCATAAGTCTATTTTGGAAACGTCGGTGGAAACACTGCAGCGAGCGGCGCCAGGACTCTCCGTGGATCTTTTATAGAAACAGACGCTGGGGGACGGTGACGGTGACTCACTGTTAGAAATGTTTGTGTTCAACCGATCATTAGAATGAAATTAGTCATTTCTAAAGGTTATCACATTTATCTAAGGGAAAACATTTATATTTTACATAATGTTTGAGTCTGAAAACCGCTTCTGATCTTTGGTAAATCTATAATCTTGTACCTTTGTGTTAAATATGATATCTGAGAACATCTCTGTGTATGAATCCAGTCTGTCAGGATTCTGCTACATTAACTTTGATCTAATTAACGTGAACAAATTAATCAAAGATGTGTGACAACTGCATTTTTGAGGTTGTGATAAAAAAAAAATCAGAACCCCCTTTCCCTCCCGGTCCCAGTGGTGCATGTCACATGTTCATATGTGTGAGTGCTGCTGACGAGGATTGAGTCAGTCCATTGTTTTTTGTTGGTTTGGACGGCACCTTTCACACTCACAGGCCCTGACATATTGTTGTTTACTTTCCCTGTATAAAAGGCGTGTTTGTGTATTTGTGCCGACCTCCGTCAAGGCGCCTTGTAAACGCCTCATCAGGGTCCTTTTCCAGGTCTGTGTTTTGTCTCTTCTCTTCGTCCACAGAAGCATGGGGCGACAGAGGCTCAGTCGGTAGAGCATTGGCCTTTGATCCTGAGGATTGTGGGTCCGTGCCCACCGCGAGGCCTTCTCCACTGGTGTCTGCTGTAGTTGTGTCCTTGGGCAAGACACTTAACCCAATTTGCCTATAAGGAGCGGAAGTAATGTTCGCTGCATGCCGTAATGTGTGAATTCATCAAAACTGACTTTCCCCACTGTGGGACAAATAAAGGAACTTCTTCTTCTTCAAACATGTGGCAAAAGGAGCAAGACTTCTTCTTGTAACCTGCTTTGCTCTTCATCCGTTGATACTCGGTTCATAGACGAGGTATGTTTACTGGTTTCTCGTTCATTGCCGGAATCGCTGTTTATTTCTAATGAGCCGGTTCCCGCTGTGATGTCACACTTCCGGGTTTTAGGCAGAGACAACGCAAATGTAATGTATATTTTTCAATAAAATAAAGAAGGATTTTTGCAGGAATCTATTTCAGATCGACATTAATTGATTATCTGTCTTGAAATTTTGAAATCCAATTTTTTGACAAACCCGTCATAAGGTCTTTAAGATGGGTATAAGGAAGTAGTATTAGAGTAGTTCCTCTCTGATGCAGGAAGGGCTGAGCACAATGGTGATAACGTTTTTACACTTCCCTCCTCAGTTATTTTCCTCCATGTTTGTAAAGTCTTTGAATAATATGAGGAACATGAATCCCAATATATCACAGAATCAAATATCAATACTGCCTGCATCGCGATATGTTAAGAATCGCAATAATATTGAATCGTGCCCCAATTATCACAATACTCTTGAATCCTCACATTTGTTGCTAGTTCCCCCTCTTATAATCGACCCAGTGTAAAGACAGGAGCAGGACTCACCTATCCTGGTCGGCACTGCGGAAGCGGGGCAGGATCATATGGCGAAAGCTGCTGGAGCGGTCCAGTTTAGGCTGGCTCTTGGCCCGTTTGATGGAGCCCTTTAGCCTTTTACTGAGGAAGCTCTGGAGGAGGACACACACCACAGGACACGCTTCTGATGACAACACACTCACAACTTCTGATGGCAACACACTCACAACTTCTGATGGCAACACACTCACAACTTCTGATGACAACACAATCACAACTCTTATGTGCCGATAGTTCATGATAACAAAGCAGGATGTTCCGATACCAGGTGCTGGATCAGACTCTACGATCCGACACCACACTGAAGTTTAGAGTCATTTCACTTTTGAATATTTAATTAGACTTTCCTCTTAACTCTACGTAAATGTGACCAGGTACTTTATAAACGTTAGACTGGGCAGCTTTAAAATGAGCTTAGGGTTTTCTAACAAAAGGTTAGGTTTTGAATAGTGAAAATAAACAGTTCTGTTTATTGTTGCTACAACTGAGGGATTTTATCTTCACTCTTTTCAATGTTCTGTTATAATTTCATTTTATTTTAATTCCTTGTGTGATTGTTTCTATCTTGTTTTGTTCAGCACTTTGAGTAGTGTATGAACTGTGCTATACAAATAAACTTGCTGTGCCAAGAAGTGGTATCGGATCGGATGGGTTTTGATATTGGCGCTTAAACCAAGTGTCCAATATTTATACAGATGGTATGGGAACATCATCGATATCGATTCTCATCTGTAGTGAAAGACGAGGGCCCTTCTCATTGGGTGGATCTGTCACCTCTGTGTCCCGTCCACAGCTGCTGCCACTGCTGTTCCACCGACCTCCACAGGGGGCAGCAGTGATATGGTTCCACCTACCTCCAGAGGGGGCAGCGGTGATATTGTTCCACCTACCTCCACAGGGGGCAGCGGTGAGATAAAGGCTCCTCCCGGCACCGCGCCGTCAGCTGCACGGTGTGACGTGAGGTGGGGGGGTGCGGGTGTGAAGGGGAGGGAGCAGGGCAGGGGCAGAGAGGACGAGTACGGAGCCAGGCCGGGGAGCTGGGGGCGGCTCGCACTACAGCGCCGGGACGTGGGGGCCAGGGACAGGGTGGGGGGCAGCGAGCGGGGCCGGTTACTCACGGATTGTCGGAAAGGTTGGAGAGGGGCAGAGGGGGAGACGTCCATGCTGGGCTGCTTCCCTACGGCGATGCTCTTCCTCCGCGGCCGGTTATCTGGAACAGAGGGCGAGAGCGAGGTTACTACAGTCACCGAGAAGTTACTACAGTCACCGAGAAGTTACTACAGTCACAGAGAGGTTACTACAGTCACAGAGAGGTTACTACGGTCACAGAGAGGTTACTACGGTCACAGAGAGGTTACTACAGTCACAGAGAGATTACTACAGTCACAGAGAGGTTACTAGTCACAGAGAGGTTACTACAGTCACCGAGATGTTACTTCAGTCACCGAGAAGTTACTACGTCACAGAGAGGTTACTACAGACACCGAGAAGTTACTACAGTCACCAAGAGGTTACTACAGTCACAGAGAGATTACTACAGTCACAGAGAGGTTACTAGTCACAGAGAGGTTACTACAGTCACAGAGAGGTTACTACAGTCACAGAGAGGTTACTACAGTCACAGAGAGGTTACTACAGTCACAGAGAGGTTACTAGTCACAGAGAGGTTACTACAGTCACCGAGAAGTTACTACAGTCACAGAGAGGTTACTACAGTCACCGAGATGTTACTTCAGTCACCGAGAAGTTACTACGTCACAGAGAGGTTACTACAGACACCGAGAAGTTACTACAGTCACCGAGAGGTTACTACAGTCACCAGGAGGTTACTACAGTCACCGAGAAGTTACTACGGTCACAGAGAGGTTACTACAGTCACAGAGAGGTTACTACAGTCACCGAGAAGTTACTACAGTCACAGAGAGGTTACTACGGTCATAGAGAGGTTACTACAGTCACAGAGAGGTTACTACAGTCACCGAGAAGTTACTTCAGTCACAGAGAGGTTACTACAGTCACCGAGAAGTTACTACAGTCACAGAGAAGTTGCTACAGTCACAGAGAGGTTACTACAGTCACGGAGAGGTTACTAGTCACAGAGAGGTTACTACAGTCACCGAGAAGTTACTACAGTCACGGAGAGGTTACTAGTCACCGAGATGTTACTTCAGTCACCGAGAAGTTACTACGTCACAGAGAGGTTACTACAGACACCGAGAAGTTACTACAGTCACTGAGAGGTTACTACAGTCACCAGGAGGTTACTACAGTCACCGAGAAGTTACTACAGTCACAGAGAGGTTACTACGGTCATAGAGAGGTTACTACAGTCACAGACAGGTTACTACAGTCACCGAGAAGTTACTTCAGTCACTGAGAGGTTACTACAGTCACCAGGAGGTTACTACAGTCACCGAGAAGTTACTACGGTCACAGAGAGGTTACTACAGTCACAGAGAGGTTACTACAGTCACCGAGAAGTTACTACAGTCACAGAGAGGTTACTACGGTCATAGAGAGGTTACTACAGTCACAGACAGGTTACTACAGTCACCGAGAAGTTACTTCAGTCACAGAGAGGTTACTACAGTCACAGAGAAGTTACTACAGTCACAGAGAAGTTGCTACAGTCACAGAGAGGTTACTACAGTCACCGAGAAGTTACTACAACCACAGAAAGGTTACTACAGTTACGAGAAGTTACTACGGTCATGGAGAAGTTATTACAGTCACAGAGAGGTTACTACAGCCACCGAGAGGTTACTACAGTCACAGAAAGGTTACTACAGTCACCGAGAGGTTACTACAGTCACAGAGAGGTTACTACAGTCACCGAGAAGTTAATACAGCCACAGAAAGGTTACTACAGTCACCGAGAAGTTACTACGGTCATGGAAAAGTTATTACAGTCACAGAGAGGTTACTACAGTCACAGAGAGGTTACTACAGTCACCAAGAGGTTACAGTCACAGATAAGTTACTACAGTCACCGAGAAGTTACTACAGTCACAGAGAAGTTACTTCAGTCACCGAGAAGTTACTTCAGTCACCGAGAAGTTGCTACAGTCACCGAGAAGTTACTACAGTCACAGAGAGGTTACTACAGTCACAGAGAGATTACTACAGTCACCAAGAGGTTACAGTCACAGAGAAGTTACTACAGTCACCGAGAAGTTACTACAGCCACAGAGAGGTTACTACAGTCACAGAGAGATTACTACAGTCACCAAGAGGTTACAGTCACAGAGAAGTTACTACAGTCACCGAGAAGTTACTACAGTCACAGAAAGGTTACTACAGTCACTGACAAGTTACTACAGTCACTGAGAGGTTACTAGAGTCACAGAGAAGTTACTACAGTCACAGAGAGGTTACTACAGTCACCGAGAGGTTATTACAGTCACCGAGAAGTTACTACAGCCACAGAAAGGTTATTACAGTCACCGAGAGGTTACTACAGTCACAGAGAGGATACTACAGTCACAGAGAAGTTACTACAGTCACAGAGAGGTTACTACAGTCACAGAGAGGTTACTACAGTCACAGAGAGGTTCATATTTAGACAGAGTTGGCTAATGTACTGATCTTAGGGACAGTTACGGCCAATGTTTAAAGATTTAGATTAAGATTATGATGAAGAGATTCTTTATTTGCCCCACAGTTTCAGTGTGTCATCACCAGTTACAGAACTGAAGGAACACAACACAAGATAACAACACAATACGCACACAACACAAGATAATTGAACAATAACCCTATACTAAAAGAAAATGAAATATCTAACGTTAGCATAATGAAAAAGCAAGTATAAAATCCTGTATATTTATAAATACACAGTTAATGTTTACATCTGTTCATGTTAGCAGCATGAACAGATGATTTTTTTTCTAACTCTGTTTCAATACAAACCTTTACTTTCTCTGTTAATGTTGAAGAATTAGAAGAGTTGGAAATGTAGCAGTGTAGCATGTGCAGTTTCAGTGTTTCATTCTATCTCTGCGTGTCCACATCAAATTGCTCCCATGTTCATATATGGTACACACACACAAACACATGCTGAACATAGCCCTTAATGTGGCCCAGCTTCACCCAGACTCCTCCTCATGCGCCCCCCAGATACACTCTGAGACCCTGGAGTCTGGAGTTGAAGTTTAGATGTTTGCTTAGGCCTCGTTTTCGTCAACTCATGGATGGACCAGGGCTGTCTTTAGTCGACCATGTGTTCTGTGGTGGCCTACTGCCCTAATGCAGAGGAGAAAGTGTGACATAAATGTAGGCTCTTCCACATAAGGCTTCAGGCTGTGCAGAGTCCTCTCTCCTCCGTCTCTTTCAAGAGGCAGTTAAATTGATCCGTCCACATCCTTGTCTCCTCCTACGCTCGCAGCCCACGCACACCATTCTTCACAACCCACTCAAAATATCCATTTGGGTTCTCACACGGAAGATGCTGCTTTGTAGAAGTAAAAAATATTCAAACTTTGGAGCTCTACAATCACACACGCAACTCTCAAACATAAGAAACATCGTGAGGACTAAAAGAAAATTCAGGGAACGCTTGGCAGAGCATAAATAGACCATCCGCACTCAACATCTTAACTATCCGATGGCCAAACATTACAAGGAGGCTGGACATGTTTCCTCGAACTCTCAGAGGGCTATGGTTATGGAAACCATCCCCAAAGCTCCATTCACGCCCTCAGAGCCACATGTTTCCCCGTTCTGAACGTATTCGTCAGATTTTTTTTTTTTTATTGTGCCATACCTTGCATGTACCTACCAACAGACTGTGGACTTTATGAGAGAGTGAGTGTATATATGTGATCATATATATATATAACATCATCAGCATTGATTTTCTTCCACACTGTATTTTGAGAACTATACTGCTGTGTCCAAAATCAGCTTGGTTAACTGTCATTGTCTTTCACCAGGATGTGTACTATTTTGTATATTGTACAGACTAGTATTTTTTTTATCTGACCATTTTATTTTTTTATGACTTCCTCTGTAAATGGCCGAGGGGGCTGGAAAAAGTGAAAAAACGCATTTGCGTTTTCGTCAGCTGCACGTGCATGAGCATTTGACGAGTGCCTTCAAAATTCCACAACTAAACTAGACTGGTCCAAAAAAATTCACTCCCCTCAGCATTGACAGCATCAGTAAGTAAGTAATGTTTATTTATATAGCGCATTTTACAGACCAAGGTCGCCCAAAGCGCTTTACAATGTTCAGAGTTCAGATATTATTCCAATCCTTCAGAGACCTTTGGCGGCACGGTGGCTGAGTGGATAGCACTCTCGCCTCTCAGCAAGAAGGTCCTGAGTTCGAATCCCGGCCGGACCAGGGCCTTTCTGAGTGGAGTTTGCATGTTCTCCCCGTGTCTGCGTAGGTTTCCTCCGGGTACTCCGGTTTCCCCTACCACTAAAAATATGTAAAATAGGTCTGGCATGCGCCTCCTGTTCGGCAACCCCGCTCCCATCTCCATGTGTGGAGTGAGAGGACAAGTGCCCAAAAAAATAACAATTGTAAACCGTTTTGTGACTCTGGTCTGTGAAAGGCAGTATATAAATAAAGCTTACTTACTTACTTCCTCCCCAAGGTGATGACGGAAGCGAGTCGCCGAACACACTGGACCATCAGCCCCCAATCAACATCATCCATTCACTCTCTCATTTACATTTATACCTATTGTGCATGTTTTTAGTGGTAGGGGAAACCGGAGCACCCGGAGGAAACCTACGCAGACACGGGGATAATGCAAACTCCCCTCAGAAAGGCCCTGTTCCGACCGGGATTCAAACCCAGGACCTTCTTGCTGAGAGACGAGAGTGCTATCCACTCAGCCACCGTGCCGCTCTGGATCGTAGCTTTGGGCCAAGAGCTGACTTTTGGACCATCCTGTAAAGCCGTTTTCGAAAGGTAAGAAGTTATGTACATTAGCCTTGAATAATTCCGGGTCCACCGCCATCGGCCCGGGTGGTATTGCAAGCATGTCAGCGCACCACATTTTGGACATTTTTGAGCCGGAACCTGCCCCCACTGGTTGAAACTTATTGGTGGATTAAACTACAACTCTTTACATCTGAGTGCCTATGGCTCATTTTCTCATAGATTAGAAATTGTTCTCTAAGTGGGCCAGAACGGCTGGTACCGGCACTTCCAAATACGCTTGATACGTGCAATCATAGAAATCCAATGAACACTTATTGAACCTACGACGCTCTCCTGGCTTCAGAGGCGTAAAAGACCGAGGTCAGAATCAGAGGAGTCGCTGACGTCCACCAAGCCAGACTGAGATGGCTGCAGGTCAGACGCAGGTAAATGAAAGCAGCACTTGTGCCGTGGTCATTGCTGATCAAACAAGTAGCAACGAGGTCGAGAGTGACACTTCTACCGATGACAACATTAAGTCTATGATGACAACAGCCGCAGTAGTGAGCCTCAGTGGCCAGCATGTTGGTCCAGTAGTTCTCCAACAAGTAGCTCTTTCTAGCTCAAGCAAATCCATAAACAAATGTATATAATGGATATATTATTAATGTGGTCTGTTGACAGTTGTAAATAAAACTGCTTCCTGTTTCATTTTGTAATTAGTATCGTACCGCATCAGCAAAGGCCGCATCATCAGAGACCGCATCAGCAGAGGCCGCATCAGCAGAGGCCGCATCATCAGAGACTGCATCATCAGAGGCCGCATCAGCAGAGAGTAAGTAAGTAAGTAAGTAAGTAAGCTTTATTTATATACCGCCTTTCACAGACCAGAGTCACAAAGCGGTTTACAATTGTTATTTTTTTGGGCACTTGTCCTCTCGCTCCACACAGAGATGGGAGCGGGGTCGCCAAACAGGAGGCGCATGCCAGACCTATTGTACATATTTTTAGTGGTAGGGGAAACCGGAGTACCCGGAGGAAACCTACGCAGACACGGGGAGAACATGCAAACTCCACTCAGAAAGGCCCTGGTCCGGCCGGGATTCGAACCCAGGACTTTCTTGCTGAGAGGCGAGAGTGCTATCCACTCAGCCACCGTGCCGCCTCAGAGACCGCATCATCAGAGGCCGCATCAGCAGAGGCCGCATCATCAGAGACCGCATCAGCAAAGGCCGCATCAGCAGAGACCGCATCAGTAGAGACCGCATCATCAGAGACCGCGTCATCAGAGACCACATCATCAGAGACCACATCATCAGAGGCCACATCATCAGAGACCACATCATCAGAGACCACATCATCGGAGACCACATCATCAGAGGCCGCATCATCAGAGGCCGCATCAGCAGAGGCCGCATCAGCAGAGGCCGCATCATCAGAGACCGCATCAGCAAAGGCCGCATCAGCAGAGACCGCATCAGTAAAGACCGCATCAGTAGAGACCACATCATCAGAGACCGCGTCATCAGAGACCACATCATCAGAGACCACATCATCAGAGGCCGCATCAGCAGAGGCCGCATCAGCAGAGACCGCTTCATCAGAGACCGCATCAGCAGAGGCCGCATCAGCAGAGACCGCTTCATCAGAGACCGCATCAGCAAAGGCCGCATCAGCAGAGACCGCATCAGTAGAGACTGCGTCATCAGAGACCACATCATCAGAGACCACATCATCAGAGGCCGCATCAGCAGAGACCACATCAGTAGAGACCGCTTCATCAGAAACCACATCATCAGAGACCACATCATCAGAGGCCGCATCAGCAGAGGCCGCATCAGCAGAGACCGCTTCATCAGAGACCGCATCAGCAAAGGCCACATCAGCAGAGACCGCATCAGTAGAGACCACATCATCAGAGACCACATCATCAGAGACCACATCATCAGAGACCACATCATCGGAGACCACATCATCAGAGGCCGCATCATCAGAGGCCGCATCAGCAGAGGCCGCATCAGCAGAGGCCGCATCAGCAGAGGCCGCATCAGCAGAGGCCGCATCAGTAGAGACCACATCATCAGAGACCACATCATCGGAGACCACATCATCAGAGGCCGCATCATCAGAGGCCGCATCAGCAGAGGCCGCATCATCAGAGGCCGCATCAGCAGAGGCCGCATCAGCAGAGGCCGCATCATCAGAGACAGCATCATTAGAGGCCGCGTCATCAGAGACCACATCATCAGAGACCGCATCATCAGAGACCACATCAGCAGAGGCCGCTTCATCAGAGGCCGCTTCATCAGAGGCCGCATCAGCAGAGGCCGCTTCATCAGAGGCCGCATCAGCAGAGGCCGCATCAGCAGAGGCCGCATCAGCAGAGGCCGCGTCATCAGAGACCACATCATCAAAGGCCGCATCATCAGAGACCGCATCATCAGAGACCGCATCAGCAGAGGCCGCTTCATCAGAGACCGCATCATCAGAGGCCGCATCATCAGAGACCACATCATCAGAGGCCGCATCAGCAGAGGCCGCATCAGCAGAGGCCGCATCAGCAGAGGCCGCATCAGCAGAGGCCGCATCATCAGAGGCCGCATCATCAGAGACCGCATCAGCAAAGGCCGCATCAGCAAAGGCCGCATCAGCAGAGACCGCATCAGCAGCGACCGCATCAGTAGAGACCGCATAATCAGAGGCAGCATCATTAGAGACCGCGTCATCAGAGACCACATCATCAGAGGCCGCATCAGCAGAGACAGCATCATCAGAGGTCGCTTCATCAGAGGCCGCATCAGCAGAGACCGCATCATCAGAGACATCATCATCAGAGACCGCATCATCAGAGGTTGCTTCATCATACGCAGGTGTGAATGTGTGCATGTACGTCTGTGTGTTTGCGCATGCTTTTACGTGTGTGTACATTTGGATTAGGGTTGAGGTGTTGTTTTGTTTGCCTTTGAAAATTATACATTGTCACCTCATTGGTCAGAAGAAAATGATAAGAGAAGATTAGAAAGACTTGTTTGAGGTTTCATTTTGTGGAGAAGGACTTTGCTTTGTTAATAAAAGCTGCAGTTTCATTTTTGCCTTAGTTTCAGCAGGTGGTGTGCCATGAGATTATTTATTTGTGCCAAGCCTTAAAAAGGTTGGGGAACACTGATATAGAGAACACTTGTTTTACGACTGCTAAAGGAGTAGCTCTCTGCCATTTCTGTTTCATAAAAGTAGATCTCACAAAAAAAGGTTGGGGACTCCTGAACTTGATCACGGACAAATGAAATGTGGGACAGGGTTCAGGCGCTGGAAGTTTTGAAAGCTGCAGGTCTATCGTTTTGTTCGTTTTTTATGTTGATTTAGAGGAGAGGCTGAAAACGCTGTCATTTACTGTTGGTTTCTATTGATTGAGTGTTTGAACTTTGAACATTCAATTCAATTCCATCAACTGCAGAAGGAGGACCAAGGCCACGCGGCTGTAGACCGAGGATAGACGTGATGCAGGCCTGAGGCAGCTCCCAGAACAATGTGTCATGTCCGTCATGTGCTACAGCAGTTCTGACAACTCTGTGTTCGCATTTCAATCATCAATAAGTGTTAATAGGGAACACACACACACACACATTCACACACAAACACACACACACACACACCTACAGCCAATTCAGACAGAGCAGCAACACAGGGGTTTGCGTGACAATGTCTATAAATGTCTACTTTTATAGACTTTGGTCTCTGCCCCTTATGGACCAATGTCTCTGTGTGTTTTTATCAAAGCATTTCTTGAGTTTTAACTGTTTGATTCTCTGATCTGTGTCGGAAAATTCAACGGTTTTGTAAAGTACTCTGAGAAAACTGATGTAACTAAGGGATATACAAACATTTCTTGAACTGAATT